TTTGGTTGCAGGTGGCATGGCTTGAACATGATCTGCTGTGTGTTCCTTCAATACACAAAGGCATGCTCAAGTACAGACCCCTCTTTGCCAAGACTACAGCCAGGTGCTGTACCTTCAGTCTGTTGTGTTCCGGCCAGCTGTCTATGCTGTAGCATGCTGATTGTCCCCAAGCTACAAAGTGGCTGTAGCAGTGAATGCACCGCCAGCAAACGTCCTTGACAACGATCGCTCGGCCGCGCACACCTGTCCAAAGACAACGAAGCCACACTCTCAAGGACGAGCACGGGTGGCTACCTTTACTGCAAACTGCGATCATCATCGATTCGATTGCAGGTATACGACCTGCAGCGCCTCGAGATCTGCAAGAAGTTCGCCAGCTTGAATTTGGACGACTGCATCCACATCTACAGCCCGCGCATAGCTCGACAACGTTCGAGCGCGTTCGACCATCTGGGCTTTAGCAGGATCAAAAAGCAGTGGTCCTGCTTCCTGGATCGCCCTGTGCGCATCCACATTGGCAGAGATGGAAGGCAGATTCGAGCCATTTGGCAGACGCAAAGAGCTCAAAGACTCTGCTGGACCGCGGTCCTGCTGCAACGCTTCGATCTGGTGCTTGCTTCCTCGTATCAGTAAAGCGAGCAGATGAAAAGCGCTTCGCCGCAGTTGTGCAGGCTTGCTGGCATCCTCCATCCCAGCTCCACCTCTCTTTTCTTTCTCGTCGACTTCAGCGCTCGTCTTTGCTCCTTGAAGCTCGAGAGCTAATAGGTCGAACATCGCAAGCGCCATTTGCTCCGCGTGTCCAGTCGCAGCTATGCGCAGAGGATTCGCCTCCACAGTAGTGCCAAGCACCGAAATGACGCTGCTTCGCAGAGTGGCGGGCACATAGGCACTGGCGAGAGCGCTTAAAAGTGGTGCGATGAGTTCGGTTGCTATGATCGTGGATGAAGAAAAAAAGCATGAACAAAGGCAGCGCAAAGGACGCCTATCCAAACTCCGACCCACCTTGAATCTCGCTTTGTTTGATGACGAGCAGCAGCGCTTCGCCTACTCGCAGGCGTTTGTCGAGCTCGCTAGCATGCATCGATAAGGATCGTGGGGAGATGGCACCAACGTAAACATCTACTAGACGGCCCAGGGTCCTAGAGTCCGAGTCTCTGCGTCGAGCCAGCGCAGCGAGCACCTTGATGGCGTTCAGATACAAGAATGACTCTTCGTCTTGCACAATCTGAATCAGAATGTCGAGGAGCGCAGGTACCAGCGCAGCTTCCATTCGAACTCCATCGGCCTCGCGCACCAGATCGCCAAGCACCGTGAGACCATGAGCGCGTACGGGCACAATAGGATCTTGCAAGAGCCGCAAGGCTTTGTTGTAAAGAGCATTTCCACGTTGCACAGGTGATGAGGTCTCAGAGGCCCTCTTGCCGGCTGTTGGACCTCTTGCGCTATGCCGCCTGGCCAGCAACACTAGCTGAACTTCTCGCGCGAGTTTAGCAACTTTAACGTCACCCGCCGCATGGTGATCGGCGAACCTTGCAATACCGTGAAGCAATGTGTGGCTAGAAGGCGTCATGTCAGGATGGCCTGCGAATTCGAGTTGATTTGTGGTCAGCATAGCATACGCCCTTGACACCAAGCCGAAGCGGTGGACGAGCCTCACCCTCCAGCAACGCAAGCAGCAGCTCCAGCGCAACGCAAACGAGCTCGGTGGACATTTCCATGCTGCCACTTCCATCTGCTGCAGCCTCGGTCTCGTCGTCAAGTGCACCGTCAGGAAGTTGCGAGTGGCTGCCATCCGCAGGAAGGGGAACAATCAGTGGTGCCTGTAGATTGGATTTTTTTGGAGAGACTTCCGCGATGTTGGTGCCGCGCAACGCAAAATCGATGAAACTCAGGACGACATCGGGCTCTGCTTTCAAAAGCTGTTCTTGAAATGCTTGCAGAAGTTGCGTAATGCATTGCAGCAGGAGCAGAGGACTTGAAAAGTCGGAACGTGGTCAGTTGCATCCGGCGGCACGGCGAGTCGAGCAAAGTCTGCAGCAGCTCACCTGACTTTTGCAGCGAGCTGCTCCGCACCAGCCTCTTGTGCCGCTTGCACACCTGCATACGTGTCCAAAAGATGCCTCAAAAGCAGTGCAGCGACATCGGCGCGGCCAGAGTCTTGGATCATCTTGACGTACAAGCTTGGATCGGGTCGCAAATTCAAGCCGAGCTTTGCGAG